GTGACTGGATTGACCTTGAAGGAGCTGCAGGTGGTGACGGCCGACAGGGAGCTCTGGTGTGGGCTGGTCCATGAGGTCACGAAGAGTTGGGAACGAATGAACAACAACAATTGTTGTTCGTAAAATACTTCTCATTATATTGCAAAAAGATACAGGTTTGAACATTTCCCCCCAGAAAATAGCAGCCTTTCACAGAATAATAGCATTTTAAGGAGTCTCTAGATAAATTCCAACCCTGCACAGTTTCAACAAAATTCATGAAAATAATATTAATACTCATTTGTTGATCTGGCATGGAATAGTCCCAATGTGATGCTTAAAATCTGAGTTAAGAATATGCTTGAGGATAAAATATTTCAAGGGATGGAGTTTATTGAGCAATAGTCTTAATGAATAACAGCAAGTTCTGAGATATTCCTTCAGTATGAAAACACTACCATTTTTCAAGTGGAATTTTTCATGATGCACATCTGAATAATTTCTCATTGATAAATGTAGAAATCTGTGTTCAGGCCTCAAGACTGGGATAAGGCAATGTTTCAGGGGAATTATACCCACGGAATGAAGCTACAGATACTGCATTATATATTACTATATTAGAAGCTTGTCTGCATTTTAATGAAACGAAAAACAGAGCCTCATAAAATGGACTGATATTTGTGTCTATAAAGTTTTTCTGAAAACTACAAATTTAGGAAGTCTAGCAAAATGAATCTTACAGGAAAAGACTGCTAGTTCTTATAGCATGCATCAAAGTGGTAAAACACTACCGAAAATAAGGCACAAAATGAGACACAAAACATGAAGATGGAAAAGGTATATTGCAGCCCTTCACAAATGTGTGAAAAGTTGTAAATTGAATCTAAAGTTCCCTTTCCGCCAACAGAAAGCTCTTCCTACATTGGACAACAGGAGTATTTCCCTTCAGTTAGAGAAAGTAAACTCTTGGATCGTATCAAATGGATTAGATTATTATTATTATTATTATTATTATTATTATTATTATTATTATTAGGTTCTTGTGGGTTTTTTCGGGCTATAGAGCCATGTTCTAGAGGCATTTCTCCTGACGTTTCGCCTGCATCTATGGCAAGCATCCTCAGAGGTGTGAGGTCTGTTGGAATTAGGACAATGGGTTTATATATCTGTGGAATGGCTGGGGTGGGGCAAGGAGCTCTTCCCTGCTGCAGTTAGGTGTGAATGTTTAGCTGATCACCTTCATTAGCATTTGAAGGCCTGCCTGAGCCTGGGAAATTCTCTTGCTGGGAGGTGTTAATCTGTGCCTGGTTGTTTCCTCTCTGTTGTTTTGCTGTTGTAATTTTAGAGTTTTTTAATACTGGTAGCCAGATTTTGTTCATTTTCATGGTCTAAACATTAAAGCAATAACAGTAAAACATCAAAAACAATACATCATGACACACTTAAAACTAGGGCTAGGTCAAATGTAATGATTAAATTAAAAGTGCTGGACATGAAATGTAAGGATTTTAGGGTAGGTGCGATGTGCAGGCAATCTTAAATCTCTGGTAAAGTGCGTTTGGGACATGATGCTGGGAGTTTCCTATTCTGGAAAGGCACACTGGACCAGCCAGGTCTTCAAGCTCTTCCTGAAGATTGCCAGCGTTGGGGCTTGTCTGATGTCCTTGGGGAGAGAGTTCCAGAGTCGGGGGGCTAGCACAGAGAAGCCCCTGTCCCTCGTCCCCACCAAACGCGCTTGCGACGCTGGTGGGATCGTGAGCAGGGCCTCTCCAGATGAACGGATCCAGATTTAATCCTACTAAAAGAAGACCCACTGAAAACAGTGACTGACATCTGTCATAACGAATTAAAATCTCACTGGCCTAAATAAATTGAAACAACTTAGGATGTTTTTTTTTTTCCAGCTGTGGTAGCACATTTTCTTTTGGTTCCTACACAAATCACTAATTTCACAACTTGTTGCTCATTTGAATTCTACACTGGGTTCTCTCCTTATGCATAGTATAGAACTAGTACGGTCAAGAATTGATCCAATCTAGTATTTTCAGTTAGGCAAAAAAGAGGAAACACTTCAGGAAAAGTAGAAGGAAAAGTATGATCATAGAATCATAGAATCAAAGAGTTGGAAGAGACCTCATGGGCCATCTAGTCCACCCCCTGCCAAGAAGCAGGAATATTGCATTCAAATCACCCCTGACAGATGGCCATCCAGCCTCTGTTTAAAAGCTTCCAAAGAAGGAGCCTCCACCACACTCCGGGGCAGAGAGTTCCACTGCTGAACGGCTCTCACAGTCAGGAAGTTCTCCCTCATGTTCAGATGGAATTTCCTTTCTTGTAGTTTGAAGCCATTGTTCGCGTCCTAGTCTCCAAGGAAGCAGAAAACAAGCTTGCTCCCTCCTCCCTGTGGCTTCCTCTCACATATTTATACATGGCTATCATATCTCCTCTCAGCCTTCTCTTCTTCAGGCTAAACATACCCAGCTCCTTAAGCCGCTCCTCATAGGGCTTGTTCTCCAATGATCATTTTAATCACGTGATTGTTCTAGAACAGTGGTTCTCAACCTGGGGTCCCCAGATGTTTTTGGCCTACAACTCCCAGAACTCCCAGCCAGTTTACCAGCTGTTAGGATTTCTGGGAGTTGAAGGCCAAAAACATCTGGGGACCCCAGGTTGAGAACCACTGCTCTAGAAGAATGTTTGAAGTCAACCTTTAAGCTTTGGGTTAGAGTTGTTCAGAGATCATGTGCACAACGTGAACAACTCCATAGCAAGAAGCAGATTAACAATTGTTACTTTTCCTTACATAGGGCCAGAGGTTTAGCACAGCTGGTAAATCATCAGCAATTATAAGATCTATCAACCAAAAGATTGCAAGTTCAAAGCCCTGTGTTGGCGTGAGCTGCCAACTGTCAGCCTAGCCCATTGTTTACCTAAGCAATTTGAAAACAGCTTTAGCTGTGATTAGAGAAATTAGGTACCGCTAAAAGCGGGGGAGGTGTTTTACGCCACCATAAAGAAAGAAGATCAGAAAATGCTGGGTGACGAGAAACGAGGAGGAAAATATTGCACAAATGGTATCGCACACCCTGCCAATTAACATACTACTATAAAGAGGGGAGTAGTCAGTGCTGGCATGGATGCCACCAGAAAGGGCACTTTATGCACATGATGTGGGAATGTGAATATGTACAAGATTTTTGGCAGACTATACAAAATGTGTCAAATCAAATATTAGGAAATGAGTGGGTCATAACAAAGGAATTAGCGGTATTAGGGAAAAGAGAGGAAATGGGAAATAAAAGGGAAATAAAAGAAGCAATAATAGAATGTGCACAAGCAGTAATAGTATTAGGGTGGAAAGATAAATAAAAATGGACAATAAATAAATGGTACCATTATATGGTGGAGCAAATGGAATTTGAAATTATGAATGTGAAATTAAATGATTTAAAAATCAATGAAAATCGAATGAGAGAAATGGAAGATAGATGGACAAGGGTAATAAACTATATTATGAATCATTCTGGAGATCAGGTCATAAGAAATAAGATACAAATGCTATATAGCATACAGGATGGAAATGTATAAAAATAAAGAAATAATGATTGTCTCAAAAAGAAATGAATATGTGAAAGATAATAATCCTCATGTTGGTGGTGGGAATTGTAAATGTTTTGTGTGTGCAAGGTATGTATTTTCTGTATTGTAAAAATAAAAAGTCAGGAAAAAAATGCTGGGTGACCAAAAGGAAGGAGGTAGTCCTGACAGCTCTTTGTCATAAAGGATGGGGCAACAGCACCCCCTGGACTCAAGCCCAACCTTCCATGGCACCTCCTTTGCAGTATAGTTTGATTTTGCCCAGGGGCGCTCTTGAGGTGCTCTTGGGGGAAAATAGACCTTGACATATGCGAGTTGTAGTTACTGGGATGTATAGTTCACCTACAATCAAAGAGCATTCTGAACTCCACCAATGATGGAATTGAACCAAATATGGCACACAGAACTCCCACGACGAACAGAAAATATATATCAGTGATTGGTTGGGGCGGGGGGCAAAATACTGTTTGCTTACCATTGAAAATTACCTAGGGCCGCCTTTGCATGATTGTATCTGTTTTTAACAGTTCACATATTTTCTTTTTGTCATGTCAGGAGCAACTTGAGAAACTGCAAGTTGCTTCTGGTGTGAGAGAATTGGCTGTCTGCAAGGACGTTGCCCAGGGGACACCTAGATGATTTGATGTTTTTATCATCCTTGTGGAGCTTCTCTCATGTCCCCGCATGAGGAGCTAGAGCTGACAGAGGGAGCTCATCCGCCTCTCCCCGGATTTGAACCTGCGACCTGTCGGTCTTCAGTCCTGCTGGCACAGGGCTTTAACCCACTGTGCCACCGGGGGCTCCTATTCTCTCTAATGAAGATGTTTTATACACCTAGAACAATGGTTAATACACACAATAGTTCTCTAGCTAGTGCCATAATGAATGTCAACATGGTTCAGTGTTTTCTTACAGATCATCTCTGAAGGTCAACACTTTTTCTTTCATTTTTAAATCACAAATATATTAGATAAAAGCTCTCGGTTCAGTTAATTACTAGGGCTGACCCTATCATTACACATAGTGAGATGGATGCCTCTTGTAGCAGGTGCTATGAAAGGAGAGTCAATTGTTAGTTTTTCCCCCCCAAATTTGTTATAATTGCACTTTTACTGCCAAAGATGAGGAAAGGCAATGTTGAAATTTTCTGCCTCATGTCCCAAAATAACAGAACTGCTTGCGGGTCATGCATATCTTCGCAAGGTTGGGTGAATGTGCACCATTTGCTGCTCCATTTTAGGCAGCAAAATGTTGTAAGCCAGCCCTGTTAACTATAAAAGCAAAAAAGCTACAATATGCAGCATGGTGATTTTCACACTCATGATTGACAATGCCCCCAAATCATGGTTAAAGGAAGGACAGTGACTGAAACATAAAATGAAGGACAGTTATGTTCTGCACAATGAAGGCTGAAGAATACTTGCCAGAAGAATCCATTCGAAAACCAGTCCTGGGCGGCACTTGCTCTGAATAGAAAAACGTGGAATTAAAAATGAAATAAAATTCTCCAGACATTTAAATAGTACTTTCTCTACTTTGGTGTGAAGTAATAAACTCTTCATTGCATTAACTTTCAGCAAGTAGATATTCCGTTTCATACTTGATTTTGGGTTTTCTATACATTTATGCTTCCAGAAATATTCTTTGGAAAAAACAATAGGTTAATGCAATAATATTTCAGTTGTTTATTGTTGATATTATATAAGTTTGGCAATCCCTATTCTTAAAAAATGACCATACAGACAATCTCCGAGTTATAGACATCTGATTGTGGCGCAGCCGGCTGAGTGTCAGCTGCATTAAGATCACTCATGAGTTCGAAGCCAGCCCGGGTTGGAGTGGGTTTCCAACCAATTGTGTGTAGCCTGTTGTCGACCTTTGCAACCCGAAAGACAGTTGCATCTGTCAAGTAGGAAAATTAGGTACCACCTTAAAGTGTGGGGAGGCTAAATTAACTGATTTATGAGGCCATAAAGAAGACTCCAGCAAAGCATTCCAGCGGGGAAGCATGCGGGGAATGCGGAAGTGCTTCATCAGCGTCGCAGATGGACGATGAAAGCGACAGCTCCCCTGGCGGCCAGAAAAAGTTAAATAGCCTCTGTGTATGTCTGTATATGTTTGTATGTCAAAAATTGGCATTGAATGTTTGCCATATATGTGTACACGGTAATCCGCCCTGAGTCCCCTGCGGGGTGAGAAGGGCGGAATATAAAAGCTGTAAATAAATAAATAAATCCTGCAGTATAGTTAAGAACAGGGGTGAGACAACAGGAAGTGAGAGGAAATCTACAGCTCAGAAGGGAAATTTACTCCTGGAAGAATTATTATCTTGGGGAAAAGGCATCTCCACTGAAGCTTTCTCACCATCCTTGTTGAGAAAGCTTCAGTGGAGATACCTTATCCCCAAAATAATAACTCTTCCAGGAGTAAATTTCCCTTCTGAGCTGTAGATTTCCTCTCACTTTCTCACCATCCTTGTTAGGAGCCCCCGATGGCACAGTGGGTTAAACCCCTGTGCCGGCAGGACTGAAGACCGACAGGTTGCAGGTTCGAATCCGGGGAGAGGCGGATGAGCTCCCTCTATCAGCTCCAGCTCCTCATGTGGGGACATGAGAGAAGCCTCCCACAAGGATGATAAAAACATCAAAAATCATCTGGGCGTCCCCTGGGCAACGTCCTTGCAGACGACCAATTCTCTCATGACAGAAGCGACTTGCAGTTTCTCAAGTCGCTCCTGACACGACCAAAAAAAAAAAGAAAACCATCCTTGTTTCCATGACAAGTCAAAATGCTTAAAATTGTCCCATTGTCACGGAGACAGAAAGTGAGGTGAAATCTTCTAAACAGGATTCACAGACAGCAAAATAAATTTTATTAAGGTGTTTACCCTTTCCCATGCAATCCAAAACTGGGAAACATTTGGCTGGAGTTACACTTAATAATAATAATAATAATAATAATAATAATAATAATAATAATACTAATAATAATAACTTATTTATACCCCGCCACCATCTCCCCAAGGGGACTCGGAGCGGCTTACATGAGGCCAAGCCCGACAACATATCAATAAAACAAAATGCAATAAGCAAAAAAAAAATACAATTAATATAACTCACATATAAACAATAACACGCAAGGATTTAAAAAACCTATGGCCGGGACAAATGTAATAGTTTAAAATTTAAAAAATAAACACTGGGCATGAACAGAGGTAGGATGGTTTTAAAAGAAAAGAAGGGAGAGCAACCCAACGAGTAGTTAAAGTGCTTCTGAGGACATTTTGCTGGGAATTACCTGTCCTGACTTACATACAAATCCAACTTAAGAACAAACCTACAGAACATATTCTGTCTGTAACCTGGGAATTGCCTGTATTTGTGTTTAATGACAAGTTCGTTAAATACTTTATGGGTGAACAGATCTAACATGTGCTGCTCCATATACATCCAGCAGAGGAAGCATTTGTTAGATGCACATGTTATCAGCCACACTTGAATATGGTCAAGACTTGACAGCCTACTGATTTTACTGGAATATTTTCAGGGCCTGACTGTTTCTAGAACTGCCTGTTTTAATACAAGGTGAAATGCTCTTGTTTGAGGAGAAAGCCATTTGATTATTACTAGGATGAATCAGATGTTTCTGCAACAATCTTGAACGTCCTTTTTTTTTTGTTATTTAGCATCCCTGTGTCAATGGATAACACTGTTCTACAAATTTTCAGTTTTTCTCAGTTACGGAAACAAAATGTGCCGTTTCTTAAATTTAACATGCTGAATTCAAATATAATAATTAAATGTGTTAATTGGCTCTGGTTTTTATGCAACAGCTATTTCAATTTTCTCCATAATAGGTAATTCGTTAATATTATGATAATGCGCCTAACCTTACTGCATGTATATAAACCGTGAATATTTACTAAATTTTAGTCAAATTATATTGCCAATAGTTTATACATGAGAAATATTTATTTAATTAGTCTATTGTTTATGTTTGTGCAGCAAGAAACTATATTAGTAGGCCTAATGCAGTTGAAAAGTCTGAAAGTTTAAATGTCGCTTTAATTGTGACTTTAGTTTATATCCTGTTTGCTTCTCTTGACTTTTCTTTTGTATTCAAGGAAAGGATTGTCTCTTACAATGCTCCAGCAGTAGTCTGACAGCATTGACGGAGTCCATTTGCCTTGATATCTTTTTTCCATAGTGCTTTATTTACACACGTGCGAGGCATAACTACAGTAAAAAGAACAATGTAAAACGATGTTTAACGATACTGTCTCAGTCTTCAACTGACTGACCCTCACCGTTCAAAAGTCTGGCCTTATATAGGGCTTTCTGGCTTTTGCACACGGCACTAATACTGCGTCATCAAACTTTCTAGAGTATTCTAGAATCTTCCATAGTGTAAGTCGCAACATGCATTTTTTCAACCATACGTGATTGCTTATATCATAAAAACTAGAGCCAATATACATTTTTAAATGTCATTTTCGTTTTCAGCACCCCAAAATCATAAAAGAACAACTATTTTGAGGCCCGAAACTTTTTCTCCGTTGAACAGTGTTATCAGCCACACTTGGATATGGTCAAGACTTGACAGCCTACCCATTTTACTGATATATTTTCTGGGTCTGACTGACTGTTTCTAGAACTATCTGTTTTAATACAAGGTGAAATGCTTTTGTTTGAGGAGAAAGACAGGTAGCCATTTGATTATTACTAGGATGAATCTGATATTTCTGCAACCATCTTGAAAGTCCTTTTGTTTCTGTTATTTAGCATCCCCGGTCAATGGATAATTAGAACAAAAACATGACATTCTGTTTTCAATTAATGTATTTAATACATTTTCTTGTTTGTATATCCTTTTAGGGGTGTTGGGTAACTTGGATGGATAAATAGATAGATATGCAATGCATTTGCTTTTTATGCTTTTCTACATAAAATTATAGCCTCATGACTACAACACCCTCAAGAAGGTTTTCAAAGCTGTCACAGTGTACCTGTCTGAACGTATCTCCTTCTATGTCCCACCTTGGAGTTTAAGATCTTCGGGGGAGGCCCTGCTCTCGGCCCCACCTCTATCACAAGTGAGGCTGGTGGGTACGAGGGACAGGGCCTTCTCAGTGGTGGCTCCTCGCCTGTGGAATTCACTCCCCGGGGAAATTAGGTCATCAACATCCCTCCTCTTCTTCAGAAGGAAGCTGAAAACATGGATATGGGACCAGGCCTTTGGGTAATCTGGCAGACTGACAAGGTAATGACGACCAGAACTTGGAAAGGACTATGGTAATGCTGAATGGACTTACGGATTTTAGAACTCAGTGAACGTTGGCCACTCGATTGTCTTTTTAGTTGTTACTGTATTAACTGATTGTTTTTAACTATTGTGGCTATTGCTGTTATGTATTTTATGTAAACAACTCCGGCCCAGTTTACCTCTCCGAACGGATTCTCCCCTATGAACCATCAAGGTTATTAAGATCTTCCGGAGGGGCCCACAATTGCGTTTGGTGGGGACGAGGGAGGCTCCTTGGCTTTGGAACTCCCTCCCACTAGAGATTAGATCTGCTCCCTCCCTCCTGACCTTCAGGAAACTAATAAAGACCTGGCTTTGGAATGTGGCATTTGAGGACTGAATCTATGACCTTCGTCCACATGGAAGGAGGATGATGAATTGTGACTGTGACTGTGACTGTATTGACGATTTGGCTTGGGTAATGTGATGATGATGTTTTTACTGTACTTATATTTTAATCTGTAATGATGATGCATTGTGTTGTGTTTGTATATTATTGCATTTGAACACATGTTGTGAACCGGCCTGAGTCCCTCGTTCGAGGTGAGAAGACCGGTATATAAAACTTCTAAAGAATAAAATAAATAAATAAATAAATAAATTTTATCTTTTGAATTGTTGGCATCGAATTGTGCCAGTTGTAAGCCGCCCTGAGTCCCCCCTTGGGGGTTGAGAAGAGCGGGGTAGAAGTGTCCGAAATAAATAATAAATAAATAAATAAAATAAACTGGTATGCAAGCAGACATGTCTAGGAACCTTATCACATTGATGAGGTCCTGAAAGGTGATTTGCCAGCTTCTGTGGTGAATTGTCAGGACATTGGGGCAATCCTGTCAGCCCACAACCCACCTCACCCACAGTGATGCTTCCCCATCATACATGGGGAAGCATCGCTGCATGGCTTCCCTTTTGCAATGGCCCCTTTTTATAAAATGGAACACGAGAAGCCCCCCATGTTCTGGGCACAATGTCATAGGATGCTTGCACCCCAGTTGAGCCATGGAGCCCCACCAGAAGTGAACCTGTGTTGTCTGCTGGGCGGTATGGGGCTCTGTGAGTCAACTGGGGCAAAACCATCCTATGACGCTACCAAAGACTCGTCTGATGAGCTAGGATCCCACTATATAATACACTACAATTCGGTAAAAAATCAACATGCTAAAAT